ATTTATATTTGCGTATAAGCTATTTAGATTGTCAAAAATACTGTGTTTTTAGGGTTATTAACAAGGTTTGTGTACCCAGCCCAGTAATATTTGGGGTCACAATTTTTTGCCATGGATATTTTGTGGGTCAGAAGATAAAAAGTTTGGGAACCACTGGTATAGATAATAGATGGATAATCTAATCTAAAACTGTCAGGTTTTTTTTAACTCAATTTATGAATATAATAAATAATACAGAATATTGTTAAAAATATATTAAACAGCTTAGTGAAGATTTAACATACAACTTAGATCAAATTCAAAATATCTCTGTCTGCTCAGCACGCAGAGAATATGAGGGGTGGTAGCGGAGAGTCATTCACAACACAAACTCTGAGTGACACGTCAACCTAAATGTTTTAAACTAGTGTTTAAACTCTTAAAGCAAATTTCTCATAGAACTCATGTCTTAATAAAACCAATCAACTGGAGTAAAATCAAGATGGTTAATTAAAACAAAAGCCGCTTTAAATTAGTTTAATTTTCAAATATTGACCACAAGATTTTACTGGATCTTGTCAGCTATACAGAACAAATACTAGTAAAAATAATAAGAAAAAAACTTAGCAGTAAAAAAGTTTTGTGTGTTTGTCTATTCATGTAATCAGCAAATAATCCAACGCCCTGTGAATCAGACTTCATAACATGTAACAACATCAACAGCAGACATAACGGAAAACCATTAGAAATAAATGCCTTTTAGTATTTTCAAAGGACTACTGTATAAACTCCTGTTTATGTCGTTATTTATCCTCCTCTGTTGTCATCTGTAAACAACAGATAAAGATCAAAGAGCAGCTCGCGCGCACCGAACAGAGCGGAAGATCAATCAAACACCGTTCCGCCCGCCCGGACCGGGATGTGGTTCTTTTACGAGAACAGGCGGCTCGCTTGTGTCTCGGTTCGTTAAAGCTGTACTTTTTTTCAGCTGACGGACTGATGAATGACGAAAGAAAACACAGAGACTTCAGTCATCACGCTGCTGCTACTATCTCATCTGTACGGACAAAAAATAAAAATAAGTCCGCCGCTATGGAGAAAGATGTACGCATAACCGGTTTGCTCCTAAATAATTAAATGTCCCGTTAATTAAAAAAAATCAGTTATGTGGATTAAAACAAGAAATAAACACATTCTTACCTCCTCTTTTTCCTTCGAGCTCCCACCGCCGCGTCATCTGAGCCTCCTTCCACTGATGCGAACCGTTTTTTCTTTCCAGCTGGATGGAGCGAGATCTCGCAAAATACCGCGAGAGTTTCCCAGCGATGGCAAGCCACAGTGTCATATAACAACTACACGGGCTCTCCAAAGCACACGTTAAGTGTAATGTAATTTAATGAACATTTGAGCTGCTTCAGTCGAACGGCTTTCGTCCATTCCAACATCAAGTCTCCAAATATCTCATTCTGTCACAGATATGATGCTAAAATTCAAAATATTTCAACAAGATAAATAAAATAAAATATTGTTACTCCGTAATTTAGTTGAAAAGCAGATCCAAACACTGGAATAATGGCTTTAAAAAATATTTTTTATATTTATTAGAAACTTTATGGAATGCCTTACCTTAAAATTAGATAGTAACCACATTGTATCAATTTGAAATAAAATTGAGTAAGACTTTTATTTCAGATTGACATATTTTTAAATTTCAATAAAAGTGGTCAATTTGTCAGGAGCTAAAGAATGAGAAAACGTAAATTTGTTCAAGGAGGAATTTTATTTATTATTTATTTATTCAATTTATTATGTTGTTAATAAAATGTATTCTTGGTTTATTTATTTCTGTTGCACACAGTACATTTTGTTTTTATAGCAAGTTGAACATTTCTTCTCATCCTAAGCATTTCATTGCATTTTTGACTTGTGTTAACCTGCACATGACAAATATACTAATAAAGTTAGAATGAAGTTTCAGACATCTTATATAATAGAAGTAAGAAAGGACATCGGGATGTCTTAAATGGTCACTTTAACAAAAAAGAAGTGATGTAAAAAAGATATTTGTACTAGTAGAAATCATAATAATTTATATTACAGTATTTACTCAACGGAAATTTGAGAAGAATGAATGCTATTATTGATGTCTGAAAAAGTAATTAACTGGTCTTTTCACAAAACATTTTCAGGCCAGACCTGAGACACTTTTTTATGGGATAAATCTTGTGCCAGCAGGAATTGAATTTGAATTGCTCAGATTGAATCTGAATGTGCATAATTTGAAATTGAATGCATTGGTTTGAAAATAAATTTCACTAAATTGAAACTAAATTTAGTGATTTGAAATTGAATTTAAAGTTTTGAATTTGAATTAATTTGCTTGAAAACTGTATTTTGGTTTAATGAAATCTTTCACTTTCAGTTCAGTAATCAAACACAGACGCACAGATTTGGTGGTTTCCTTTCTGTATGCAACAGATTTGATGCAATCCACCGTAAAAGTGACAAAAACGGACAGTCATTTTATTGCAGTGATTAGTTTTACCTATAGAAAATGTTACATTTACTGTACATCCAATCATGGATCAGTCAGCAGCAGCATCTGATCAATATGTTATCCATGATGTGATCTAAATGTAACATTTTCTA